TGTGTGTGTGTGTGTGTGTGTGTTTGTGAGTGTGTGTGGTGTGTGTGTGTGTGTGTGTGTGTGTTTGTGGGTGAGTGTGTGTGTGTGTGTGTGTGTGTTGTGTGTGTGAGTGTGTGTGTGTGTTTTGTGAGTGTGTGTGTGTGTGTTTCGTGAGGATGGGAGTCTTTGTAGGTATTACTGAAATGAATAAAAAAGACTTTGACCAAAAATAATTTTTGAAAAAGAACTATCCTTTTAAAACAAACAAATAATAATTGGATATTAGTAAGGATGAAGTAGGACCACATTTCTGTCATGTACTGTAAATCCTACTGCCATTAATAAGACCATTCATTTAACTGCATTTAACTGTGATGTTGTCATTGTGTTCATCTGAGCCCTGCTTTTAGCTCCATTCCAGAAGTGCAGCTTTGTATAATAGTCTGCACAATAAGTTTATTCAGTGATTAATCTTCAGTCCAGTTACGGTGAATTCAGGTAAAGTTCTATCAGTTGTTTTGAATGTTACACATAATTTGAGTAAACTGATGAATTTTACTCATAGCATAGGTTATATGTTTTTGGGTTTGTTAAATGTGTTGTTTAATATGTTGATTTAATAATATGTGTTAATAAATCATGTGTTTTTAATTAAGATAGAGGATCATTTTTGATAAATCAGAGATGGCCCATTTTACCTGAAAATAAATTTGTCTGGAGTGCATGATTTAAAAAAGTTTATTGGTATATATCTTGCGAATAACACATTGTATGAACTGTATTCAAATTGAAATATTATAGCTTGACCTTAAAGTTATGACAGTTATAAAGCTGATTACTTTTTTTAATTAAGCAACTCATAATCTAAATAAACCTATGAAATTTTGGAAAAATACTGACTCCATTTCAGGTGTAAAAAAGGCTGCAGGACTTCCTTTATACATAATGAACAATACCATCACAATCTCAGATATAGGAGAGATGCTGAATTGTCTTAACATTTTGTTGCTGTAGGATCGTCGTTTAAGGTACCTAAAATTATAGATATGAATAATGATATGGAAAATAGAGGAAGGCATTTAATGGCTCTTAATTTTAGTTTTAAACCATTTTCTACTTGTCAGATTAAAATAAACTCTTAAAACTATTCAATAAGTCAGCTGGCCCTGACCAATTACAGCCACTTTTTTAAAAAAAATAGCTGCAGATTATATTGCTGCCCCTTTGTCATATATTTATAATCTTTCACTGAGTTTAAATTAATTACCCAAAGATATGGAAGTCTGCCTTTGTTATCCAATTTGTTAAAAGGAGGAGATCCTTCCGATATGAATAACTATTGGTCGATTTCTAAACTTTGTATTTTGTCTAAGGTTTTTGAATCTCTCATTAGTGAGCAGTTGACTTCATATCTTATGGAACATGATATTTTATCACACAATCAGTCAGGTTTTAGGAAGCAACACAGCACAACCACAGCTGCAACGAGTGTTTTAAATGATAGCACAGAGGCGCTTGATAAAGGTCATTACTGTGTATTACTTTTTATTGACCTGTCCAAGGCTTTCGATACTATTGACTTAGGTATACTAAAAACTAAACTGAAACTAATTGGATTGTCAAATGACACAATCATTGGTTTGAAAGCCATTAAGTGGACAGGACACAATGTGTGCAAATGGAAGGCCATTCATCTGCACCATTGCAGATTATGAGGGGTGTTCCTCAGGGGTCTGTTCTGGGGCCTCCACTTTTCATTATTTACATTAATAACCTTGATGTTATTATTAGTAATGTTAATTTTCATTTTTATGCTGATGTCGCTGTGATTTATTGTACTGCACCCAAATTACATCAAGCTGTGTCCTCACAGAGTACTTTTGATGTTGTGCAACAAAGGCTTTGTGGCCTAAACCTGACTTTGAACGTGACCAAAGCTAAAGCTGTGTTATTTTCAAGATCAAAGAAGCAAGTGGCAAATCAACTACCAGTCTAAACCTTACAGGGTACTATAATAGATGTAGTGACAGAATATAAATATCTCAGTTTTATGCTTAATTGATGGCTCATCTTTTAAATCTCACTTTAATCAATTAAGGACCAAATTTAAATTAAAGCTGGGGTTCTATTACAGAAATAAACCCTGCTTTTAATTTGAGGCAAAAAGAAGATTAGTTTCTGCCACATTTATGCCAGTCCTTGATTATGGAGACGTTCTGTATAAATCGGCCTCTACCAGACTTTTGTGTTCTTTGGACACTTTCTATCATGGTGCGCTTAGGTTTATATTCAATTGTAATTTTAGTACTCATCATTGTGATTTGTATAATAGAGTTGGTTGGTCGTCATTATCAACACGCAGACGTAAGCATTGGTACCTGTTTATCCATAAATCTATTTTGGGTCTACTCATATCTGGTGAAGTCAGCAAAAGTGGGACACTTTTTGGTAAACTGTGTATTAAATACAAATAATTTTATTCTACCAACACAATTTATGCTTTAAACAAATTCTCAAAGTCTCTTGTATCTCCCACTGTTTTTTGAAAGAATATTGGTTGTTGTTTTAAACATAAAAAGATTTTTTAAATGTTAAGTACCCATTTTTCTTTTTTGGGCTTTTTCAGGTAAAGTGGGACACTGTGTCTGGTAAAGTGGGACACACATTTTTATCTAGTCTGTGCTTACAAAATACAATTTCCTACAGCAGGACATTGTATAAATAATCTTGTGCAATAGAAAATCCTCAGAATTAAAAAGAATAACTATACAAATAGACATAGGCTACTAGTGGATAGTGTTATTGATTGTGAACACTTCAACAGAAGCATAAATTTGAAGAATTATTAAAAAAAATAAATCAGAAGTACAAATTTAAACAATTAAAACACTACAAAAAAAGGACAAGAACAAAGTGTGTGTGTGTGTGTGTGTGTGAGAGAGAGTGTGTGTGTGTGTGTGTGTGTGCGTGTGTGTGTGTGTGTGTGCGTGTGTGTGTGTGTGTGTGCGTGTGTGTGTGTGTGTGTGCGTGTGTGTGTGTGTGTGTGCGTGTGTGTGTGTGTGTGTGCGTGTGTGTGTGTGTGTGTGCGTGTGTGTGTGTGTGTGTGCGTGTGTGTGTGTGTGTGTGCGTGTGTGTGTGTGTGTGTGCGTGTGTGTGTGTGTGTGTGCGTGTGTGTGTGTGTGTGTGTGTGTGTGTGTGTGAAACACACATGCTTTCATATTTGTGTGTTCAAGTGGTATGTGTGTAAGTGTGGGTGAGAGCAGGCATGTGTTTGTTTACAGGCACATTTTACGCACAAAAACTTAATATTCACAAATTTCTATTCTTATTTTTTCTTTCCCTGTCTTCTGCCTACACTTTGTGACATCTTCTGTAAAACAAAACAATTTCTCACATTGAGCAATTAATTATCTTTTAATATATAGGATGTCCCACTTTAGCTGAATGCTACTGTCCCAATTTATCTAACATGTTCAGGTAAACTGGGACAGTAACAAAACTTAATATTAAGAAAAAAAATAGAAAGAAAAAACTTGCACATCATTGCATAAAAATTGAATGATCACATGAACGCATGTCATACAAATTTATATTGTAGAGTGATTTACGGTTTGTATTAGAAATTAAACCTTAACAATTTTAATAGGCTTTATGTACGGCACTTTCTCAGACCTTCCAGCATTGAGTGGTAACCACGCCCATATGATTTACATTTGACTAATCAAATGTTGATATTCAAGCTACTGTTATTACAACATTCAAGACCACCCATTATAATCAGTCTTTTTCTTTAAAGAAGCACCACACCAAAAACGTATTTGTCCCATGTATCTGATGTCCCACTTTTGCTGACTTCTCCCTCTCCGTTCTCTCACCCAACTCAAAGCTTCTGGAGCTTACTCTCTGCACTCACAGGACTTGTATACCCTTTCGCTTCCATCTGAACGAACTGGATTTGGAAAACAAGCTTTTCGGCATACTGTTAAAGGAAGAATCAACTTGTAAATGTTTTTAAATGGGTTTTGATTCTGTGTTTTTATGTTTTTCTTTTGATAATGTAGTGGCAGGTCACTTCTGTAAAGGAGATTTTAAATCTCAGAAAGGTTTTACCTGGTTAAATAAAGGACAATACTATTTAGTGGACAATAATATACACTTCACTTTCTAAATGAAAGTATTACTGGGCAAACAGTGCTGATTATTCAGTGTTCAGTCACAATATTCCATAAATTGTTTATGACACATAAAGCTGGCCTTTAAAAACAGAAATTTCCTGTAAATCCACAAGGGTTTACCTCTAACTGGTTCAGTGTTCTCTGAATTACACCTTCAGAGTTCTGTGAATTCTTACATTTTATCACAGTTAGTGTTATGCTATAAAATAAAAGCTAAGAGAACATTGGTTTGGGATTCTTTATTTTCTTAACGTAGGGTTACTGTATGGATCTTCGCTGGTGTTTAACGTTTTAATATTGAATTCGTTGGAAAAGGAACTTAGCCAGCGTTGTTCTCCACCGCAGCACTAGGTGTCGACAGAGCAGAGCACAAGTCTGAATCCCGAACTCAGCTTCCGCCGCCGCTGTGTGTGGAGTCCGATTCATTTCCGCGAACCGGTTCCTTTCGGACAGATCGGCTCACTGAACCGGTTCAAAAAGCCGATTCATCGGTTCCTGACGTCATCAAGCAACAACGTCTCTACGCATTCTAACAACTCAGTGCCACGTTGTATCAATGAAAGATTCAAATAAGTCATTTGTGTGCTACTTCGGCTGTGCGTCCTGCGTCATCAACCCGGAACTAAAGTTCGAATCAGTTCGATTTGTGAACCGGCTCGACCGGCCACTTCCTGAGAACCGGCTCAAATGAACGATTCGTTCAAGAACCGAACATCACTACTTCAGGATGGTCTGAATGGAGCCGCGGTCACGGGAGTCTTGTGTTATCAGACAGGTCACAGGTGGTGTGGTCTGCTGTGTGTGTGGAGAGCTGAGGGACCGAGATGAGAGAGGGACCGAGCGCAGTGCATCTCTGCAGCGGCATCAGGTGCGGGGTTTGACGGGCACTGGCGCTTTCACAGGACCAGACAGCACAGGTACGTCTGCAAGACATCTGTTGAAGATCGCTTCATCTGACAGACGTCTCGAAGATGTCAGTTTTACATACAGACATCTTCTAAACGTCTATTTGACGTCTGATAGACGTATTGCAGACGAGCAAACACTCTAAAAAGCACGTCGTCTCCGTGATGTCCAATTACAGAAACCACAGGATGACTTGAAGCCGGGCTGCCCAGTCCTCTTCCCGCGCAGCTCAGCTCAGCTCCAACCCTCATCAGATACCACTGAATGAAGATCTTCAGGAGCACTTGACCAGGGCTCGATCTGAAGCCTCCAGGAACAGGACTGGGCAGCCCTGACTTCAAATATCAACTTAATTTAAATGCTAAAAACACAGATAAACCGAGATGTCAGAATCAGAACACTGAGTCTTCTAAAATCACAAAATGAATTGTGGTGAGTTATTTACAATATATTAACACTCCCAATTTCTTTTAATAAAAACAAGCGGAGCCCTTTTGATTTGGACCAGTCCGCAATCATTCAGCAACCACCAAAACAACCTGGCAACACCTAGCAACCAGCAAGCACATCACAGCAGTCGCCTAGCAATGCAATAATAAACACTCAGAAGACCTCAGCAACCGCCCCGCTAAAAGAGCATCACTCACTTACTCTGCACAGTATTTCCCTAAGTCAGTTTTCCATTGGGTAATCTGCAGGGTGACATTGAACACTGATGAGCGCAGGGAAATGCCTCAGAAGAGAAGGAAACAGAAGGTGAAGTCCAGCCCGACGGAAGCCTCTGCTCCGAGTGTGGGGACGACGAGAAGCGCAGACCGCCAGGAGGAGAGGAGAGAAGCGGGCAGAGCGAGTCCAGCCGATCATTCACAGCCGGCTCTAGATGAGGATTCAGCCGTAAGACAAAACCCCTCCGAGACGGCAGGAGGACGAGAGCAGGACCACAGGAGCCTGACGCTCGTGGGATGTGTGTCACCGTCTAGAAACACAGACAGCCGTGAGTGCTTCTCCTCACCACTGAGATGAGTGAGATCCAAGCCGTTGACCTCCATAACACACGCTCCTAATCAGGCTTTCTGTGGGCTTTATAAGGCCTTAAAAGGCTAAACTCTCCCTTCCACCATGTAAGCGCTTAAATAGTGAATTCTTGAAAAAGTGAACAGAAATAAGTGAATTTATGCTTCAAAACAAGAACATCTGTCAGTGAGGAATGAGCACTTGTTTTCCCTTTGAATGAAGCTGATTGGCAGATATTTGTTCTTGATCACTTCATTTTGATCAATTTTTCAGAAAACGACTTCTTATCTTGTTATTTTGCTTCTTAAGTAAATAGATCTTGATTTAAGAATCTTTAGACATGTGCGCCGGAAAACAAGACCGAAATACTGAGGAAGAACAGCACTTTTTTCCAGTGGGATCCAATAATTATGAATTAAAATGTAATGGAGGCCTGTTAGAAGTTGTATTTTCAAAATGTGAAGTGTTGCTAATACATTGACATTTAGAGAGCTTTCCTTCAATTAATTCATTTTCTTGAAAAAAGTCTTCGATCTAGCTGCAGAAACCCTGCTGTCAGTCATGAGAGATTCATCAGTGCCTCTGAAATGACTTTCCCATTTCTGGATAGATCTTTTTCATTTTCATATCTTGAATATCTTGTTTCACTAGCATATATATCACCTTTGGCAATAAAGTAGGTTGGAAACGTCGTGTCATGTTGACTAACTTTAGGAATTCATAGGTGTTTAGTGAGGTTTAGGCTTCACGAAGTACTAAACTGAAATGTGATCTAGTTCCTCGTTTGACTAATTGTCGTACTATTCAAGACATTTAATCAAGAAAAACTTTTAAATGGTTTTTGAGCGTGGGAATAATGTTTTTGTCCAAGACCATTTTCAAAAGCTCTGTGATCTTTTTCTTTTCAGGGTTGAAGTTATTAGCAGAGAAGCGGAAAACGAGTCCATACTTCAGTGGAAGGGATGACGGTATGAGACGGGTTTTATGGAGTGATACTGTGAACTAACCAGGCGTGATGCGATGAAAGCTGTGTTTTATAGATACTCCAAACATGCATATTTTTTGTGTGAAATTGAACAAGCAGACTGCTGTGACCATGAGTTGGTCTTAAGCAGGTATAATAATTTTAATTTTCAAATTTCATCAGTCGCTTAGTTTGTATTTCTGCAGCGTCGCACTCGTACAGTGACCCAAAATCCTGCTCTGCATAAGCGTAAAAACCTGAATATGTTCTGACCATAGACTGTATAAAAACATGGACGTAGTGTCCGTGACGTCACCCGTAGGGTTCCGAAGAGCGTTTTTGAAGCTCAAAGTGGGCGGAGCCAGCCGTCGCCATCTTGGCAGCGCGTCACTCCCGGATAATCGAAGATGGGCAAAGAGGCGGGAGCTGGTTGTTGAAACCACGCCCCCCTAGCTCGACAGTGGTGACAGCAGCGGCAATCCACCTGTCACTCAAGTGGCCACGCCCTTAATTATGCAGAACTTTAAGGCTTAATATAATTTAAACGGATGAGTTATAAAAAAAATTCACCCCCTCACAGTTGTCATGAAGGGCAAAATTAGCTATATAGACCAAAATCATTTTTTGAACCAGGCTGTAAACATGTTTTTCTGCTGTAAAGTTGGGCATTTTAACATGGGGAGTCTATGGGACTGACTCTCTTTTGCAGCCAGCCTCTAGCGGCCAGTCGATGAATTGCAGTTTTAGTCACTTCCGTGTTGGCTTCACGAGAGAGAGCGGGAGGTTGCTGCTTGGTTCTGACTGGCTGTGTTCGTAACACATCCTCCAGCGCTTTAACTCTAGGTGCGGACACACGGTTCATTATCACAGCGTGTCTGGTTAGGTGCGCACATCTCTACCACTCGATGGCGCTGAGTTTAAAAGCTTTCCTCCTCAGCTCTGAGTCCCCCGAAGCGCAAGGCCTTCCGGAAGTGGACTCCGCCGCGCTCACCCTACAATCTGGTGCAGGAGACGCTGTTTCACGAGCCCTGGAAGCTCCTGGTGGCCACAATCTTCCTCAACAGGACCAGCGGTACGCCAGCACATCTGTAACATCTGTACTGTCACAGAAGAGTTGTGATGTGCTGGTCTTTGTTTCCTCACCCGTATGAGCAGGTAAGATGGCGATCCCTGCGCTGTGGGAGTTTTTCCAGCGCTATCCGAGCGCAGAGGTGACGCGAGCGAGTGACTGGAGGCCGCTGGCTCTCCTGCTGCAGCCGCTGGGTCTCAGCACGCTCCGCGCCAAAACACTCATCCGCTTCTCCGGTGCGTGCCACTAATACAGCAGATTTCATCAAGGATGTTTTTATAGGGATAGTTCACCCAAAAATTAATAATTTAGTTATTTACTCACCCTCTTCAGTAGAACAGTAAAGAAGATTTTTAGCTGAAAACGTGGTGATTGATATAATGGTGGGTGCCATCGCTTTGGGAGTCAAAAAAACTAGTACAGAAAACACGAAATGAATGCCTGCAGCTCCTGGCGATATATTGAGGTCTTATGAAGTAAACAACAACAGCGTGAGCTCACCTTCACGCGTATGTCATCATGCGACTGAGGCTCTGGATTACAGGTAATAATGGTGTAAATAATGTTCAGTTTCTTGCACAGACTGATGGTTTCACTTCATAAGACCTCAATATATCGTCAGGAGCCACGGTGGTTAATTCTGTGCTGCCTGTACCTGCTTTTTTGACTCTTAAAGTTACAGCACCCATTTACTTGCATTTTCTGAAACACCAAAAACCATACTTTCAGCTAAAAATGATCTTAACGACTGTAGTGCTTTCATGTAGTGGTAGACGATACATATCACAGTCACTATATATATTCTGAATGATTATACTGCTGGTATAAAATTAGTTGAGATTGTTATTTGGTGCAGTGGACGTCTCATGATGCCGTGACATTATCTTGTTCGTCAGATGAGTATGTGAGTAAATCGTGGCGGTATCCCATCGAGCTCCATGGCATTGGCAAATACGGCAATGATTCGTACCGTATCTTCTGCGTGGAGGAGTGGAGAGAGGTACAAACACTACAGGACAACACATGAGCAGCGACGGTCACATGCAGCGGGTTGATGTGTGTGTGTGTGTGTGTGTGTGTGTGTGTGTGTGTGTGTGTCCTGCAGGTGCTGACCTCAGGCCTGTATTATTATTATATAACAGAACTGGCCTTCTACTGGTCGCTCATGTTCTCACAGTTCACAGACATCAAAAGAAAGGTGAGCGTTGATGGATCAAACGGCAACTGTTCATTCCTATTGTGTTTTGATCCATTATTTAATTCACTTCTCTCTCACTTCTCAACTTCCCTTCACATCAGACATATTCAAAGGAGTTGTTTATGAGGTCAAATTCCTGCTGTTTTACATATTTAACAAAGCATTGTTCTCGACAGCAGCTCCGTCATGTGATACGGTTTAAAATAGGTCGGCGTGTTAGAGAAGGAAAAGGCCTTAAACTACACAAGTAGAGCGTGGGATTGAATCAGCAGCTGTCAGACGCACATGGCTTTTCTGTCTGTTGTTTTTCCGTCAGTCTCTTGACGCCTCACTGTTTTCAGTCACTCGTAAAGACAATTAACGCCGGCGAGCGTCTTCAGGGTGCGGCTCGGCTATTTGTTTAAGACACGACCCGCGGCGGTGACCATTATGAGCTGAGAGATTTGTATAATAACTTACAGCGACTGAATCATAACAGAGAGATATTGTTCCTCTTTATTTGACTCGGCGGAAACAACCTGGAGAATTCAGCTTCTGTCGAGCTGAAAGGAAAAGTTACAAATCTGACTTGTGTTTGTGCTTTTGTATTTAATTTGCATCGTATTTTCATGTCGTGCTGCTATACATATTTCATGTGTATTTCTGCAGGATTTCCTCATCATGTTCGTTCATCATCTGGCGACGGTCAGCCTGATCAGTTTCTCGTATGTAAATAACATGTTGCGTGTGGGGAGTCTGGTCATGTGTATTCACGGTGTGTGTGAGTGTGTGTGTGTGAGTGTGTGTGTGGGGTCACTCCAGACGACCACAAGCTCAACAACTATCACGCCTGGCTCTGGAAAAACCAGGAGCAATTAGGAATCTGATTTTAGTTGCACTCCAGGATGTTTTAATAAATCAATGTCTGCAGTAGCGAATGTGAATCAGTGTACCAGTGAACTCATCAGAGATCAGCTGCTGCCTGTCTCCTGAAAGCATGAGATGTTCTAAATGTTTCATCATGTTTGTTCATCAGTTCTAGAAAACATGTTTAAGTTGTGTAAAAATAAATTAACTTTTTATCTTTTGTACATGCTTTGGATTTGTTTTAAAAAGAATTGAGAGCTTTTAAAGTCAGTGTGAAATGACACTGATTTGAGAAACCCTTTGGTAATATTTTCTGATAATTTAATACGTGCGCTGATGAATCAATCACAATTCTGATTTCATGTCGTGAAAGGAAGCTTCCTCTTCTCTGGCGTGGAGTTCATAATGTCAAACAGTGTGCATATAAAAGAGTTCAAGCGGTTTCTATAGTAGAGTCCTGTGTCACCGGTTATAAATGAGCAACACAGGTCAATTAAATGGGTTTTTAATGAAATCATAATGTCCTCCACGCTACCAACATGCGACAAGACAATTCAAAACGTAGTTCACATTAAGGCTGGCAGAAATCATGCCCACGTCTCAACTGTCTGTCGTTGTAGGGCATATTCACATTGGACAAATAATATGACAAACAAAATAAATAGAAGCCATGATGACACATTTACGCATTTTCATCTAAAGCAGAAGGTAAAGCAAGCAGACACGATATGATCAATGCATTAAAGCCACCTGTGCTGAAACTAAAAGCATCTGTCAAAGAAATGACTGGAAGGCCACATGTGTCGAATCTGCAGGTAAAGTGCACTCAGTTAAACGGTAAATCACATTCATTACTGTATTCTACCGGTTGCATATTTAAAACAGGGTCCCCACAGCCAGAGAAAACCTGGAAAAATTTGCTAGTTTTAAAATGGTGGTTTCCAGTGTATTCCTGGTCATGATATTGAATAAAATCTTATAAGTCATGGAAATCTCTATAACCAATATACATTTTCTAGATGTGCTCGGTAGACACTGCCGGGAGATAGTTAGATAGAGTCTGCTGAATGAGCTCACAAACTGGTCTAAATCAAAAAGACTAATATAAAAAGAAACCCTTATCTAGTGTTAATGCATTGATCAAAGAGTGTGGGAACCCTGTTGAAATTGATTTGCCATACATATTCAAGACACTACTTTCACACACATACACAGTCCTGGTTTGAGAGACGTCTTCTGTGACAGCGCTGCATTCATGCATTTGGGAATGTTGCTATGTGAGAGCGTTTCAAACAACATGACTTTTGGAGCGTCCTTTCTGTCACTTCCGAAATCTTTAATAAATTGTTTTATGCATTGGGACAGATTTTTTAAAATGAACACAGTATCCATGTATAAATGTGCATAAATGCCAATATGTCCATGCCAGTATGTACAGTACCTCTGCCTGAATGGGTTGCATACAGTATGTCTCTTGGGGTTTGGCCAAACATGTCCATTACTAACCGTGTGAGTCTCATAAATACAGCAGCAGCTGAACTGTTGAAACACAGTGTTATAAATGAGCCGATCATCATCATCATTATCCACAGAGCTTTAAACAGCACTGCCACTCCGGCCCACAGTGCTAAACATCCCTGATTGACATGCATTTCCAGAGCCACGGCACTCACCAAACCCAGAGCTTCATGTTTCAGTGGCATCACCCTGTTGGAGTCCATCAGCGTCCGGTTCATTAGCGTCCTTTAAGAATGCCATCCAGCACGCGGTCACCCTTCTCCGAGAGCCAGTATCCTGACATGGCAGCCACTCCTCCGATGAAGATGGCCGTGAAGACCATGTCTCCTTTGGCGGCTAGAGTAGCGAGAGCGCAGATCACCACGCCGAAGAACATCTGCTGGAGCACGAGCACCTCGTCATCCGTCATGTCATCAAACAAAGCCTTCTCTGGACCCGCTGTGAGGACACAAACTGAGGAGGTTACACAGCATGTCTTTCTGGGTGAACACACAGTAGAACAGTTTCTGAGACTGGCGGCATCGAAATGGGCATAAATCACCCTATTTAGTAAGGAAAATTAAGAGCTTCCTTCAAGTACTCTCAGTCAAAATATAATGGACAATTTCATACTCGTTCCTCTCTTTTTCACTTCCTGACTGACACAGGAACACAGGAGTTTTAGCAGTGCTAAATGAAGAGCACAGAATGTGCATCAGGTGTGTAACTGATGCTTTACCCGTGTATGATGACATTCCTGTACTGGCAGAGTCAGACGCTGATGACAGATGGGGCTTTGTCATGCAAACCTTTTGAACTGGCTACATGAGTAGTTTTAGTACACTAAATGAGTACCAACTAACCTACATAGTCAACATTCACACTGATGATCAATGGGTCAATGATGGCATGCTTAAAAAATGCAATTCATAAATACATTGACTTTACTTTTTGAATTTAAATTCATTTGTGTGATGCATACAGGCAAAATGTCAAGGTGATACAACTGTCCTGACATCATAAAAAATGATCAAAGATCACATCAGAATGTGGTTTGCCATAATCACTTCACTGTTTCTTCAAGCTGCTTGACATTTGTAATATATGAAAACGTTCGCCAAATCAAAGTCACGTGATTCACCCTACATGCAAAGAAAAACCCATGTGACTGTTTGTCAAGGTCAATCATTTGATTTTAATACAAGCCAATGTTAGTTCAGTTCAACCTTAATGACATTTATGAATTGTAATGTTAGTTCACCCAAAAAATTTGATGCCTGGGAAAGTACTATGACTAGCCGCTTGAAGGACAGCACCAATCTTAAGGATACCATAGCTCAACTGACCATTTGGCTCAAGGAAACTGACAACAGCCAGCTGCTTGGGAGGTTTAAGGTATAGTTCTTCCAGTATGGCAACATTGGCCATTCCTGCTATACGACTTCCCCTTGACTCAGGCGGAAGCGATGGATAGCTGGGTGTTCAGTCAATCTGTACAGCAAGACATCCAAGCTCCTCTTACCAGTCTCATCGATGGTCAAAGAATTCAAAGCCACCAAGGCCAGGGCAGTCAGCACACTGCTACTGTCTAAAGATGAGAAAGCTCAACATGCCAACCAAACTGTCAAGTGTGGCAGAAAGCGGAAGCCACGGGAGGCAGTGAGGGAAACGGAATCGTACTGGAAACATCAGGAAATCATCAGCATGGTCTGCCAAGGACAACTGGGAAACTGCAAAACCAAGAGTTGGAGTAAGGCTGATGCCAAAGGTAAGAGGACACTTGTGGTGCAGAGGGCTGCAGAAGAAGGCCGGCTTCTAAGAGCAGTTTGGTTCGCCTATCAAAGCCAGTGGATGCAGTGGGATCAGGTACTCGAGCGTTCGCTGTCCGCTGTCCTGGAAGGAACTCTGGAGTACTGCCCAGGGCAAATTGACCTTCCACTTGCGTGCTGTAGCTTACCTATTACCAACTCCAAACAACCTAAACATATGGAGCAAAGACAAGGATCCATCCTGCAAGCAGTGTGGAGCAGCCCTGTGCACCCTGAACCACATTTTAACAGGAAGTCCCAAGGCACAGGGAGAAGGCCACTACAGATGGAGACATGACAAGGTTCTTGCTGAAATCGCCAAGTGGACAGACTTCTAGAGGGTTAAAGCCAATCAATATCAGGCACCACGGCCCAGAGGAGTCAGTTTCCTAAGGCAAGGACACAAGGTTCCCAAGCTAAGAAGAACTGACAGTACCCCACCCTCTATTTTGTATCAAGCTTCTGAAAGAAAGAAGCTTGTCTTCCCAGAAGAAGTGGCCGTGACCACACTTCGACCAGACATGGTTCTTCTGTCCAGGAGCACAAGAACCATCTTGGTAGTTGAGTTCACTGTGCCCCAGGAGGACAGGCTAGCCATCAGCTGAAGAAGGCTAAGTATCATGATCTGATTGATGAGGCTTCTACTAAAGGATGGCTTGCAGCCTTGTTCCCTATTGAAGCTGGTTCCCGCGGCTTCCCAGCTACATCTGTGCGCTACTTCTTATAGTAGCTTGGGTTGGAACCTAAACGACTGAGGAAGGCCACCGGGAGATAGCAGCGGCAGCAGAGACTAGCTCAAGGTGGTTGTGGTTAATGAGAGATCACAGTTGGACCCCTTCTGCAGGTGAAGTCTGATCTGGTATATATACAGTGGGTACGGAAAGTATTCAGACCCCCTTAAATTTTTCACTCTTTGTTATATTGCAGCCATTTGCTAAAATCATTTAAGTTAATTTTTTTTCCTCATTAATGTACACACAGCACCCCATATTGACAGAAAAACACAGAATTGTTGACATTTTTGCAGATTTATTAAAAAAGAAAAACTGAAATATCACATAGTCCTAAGTATTCAGACCCTTTGCTCAGTATTTAGTAGAACCACCCTTTTGATCTAATACAGCCATGAGTCTTTTTGGGAAAAATGCAACAAGTTTTTCACACCTGGACTTGGGGATCCTCTGCCATTCCTCCTTGCAAATCCTCTCCAGTTCTGTCAGGTTGGACGGTAAACGTTGGTGGACAGCCATTTTTAGGTCTCTCCAGAGATGCTCAATTGGGTTTAAGTCAGGGCTCTGGCTGGGCCATTCAAGAACAGTCACAGAGTTGTTGTGAAGCCACTCCTTCGTTATTTTAGCTGTGTGCTTAGGGTCATTGTCTTGTTGGAAGGTAAACCTTCGGCCCAGTCTGAGGTCCTGAACACTCTGGAGAAGGTTTTCGTCCAGAATATCCCTGTACTTGGCCGCATTCATCTTTCCCTCAATTGCAACCAGTCGTCCTGTCCCTGCAGCTGAAAAACACCCCCACAGCATGATGATGCCACCACCATGCTTCACTGTTGGGACTGTATTGGACAGGTGCCTGGTTTTCTCC